TTTCATAATAATTTTTATTGAAGTTTAAAAATACAAAGATAAAAAATTAATACAAACTAAGAAAAATGTGTGTGTTGGGGGGGGAGAGAGAGAGAGAGAAAGGAGAATGGAAAAAGAAATATAAATTATCAACTTCTCTAACATTTTAACCAACCATTCATGCCATAATCTCCTGTTTTTATCTATTAACAAATAGGTGTAGTGCCACTCCCGTAGGGACCACTTAAGTCTGGGCCCTCCCGACCTACCCTCCAAGTGGCCACCAGCCCAAGGAGGTCTCTCATGTTGGCACCTCTGCCTAACAGGGCACATAACACAGTGGTATTCAGTCATGATTGACAGCCATGCACATGGGGTGGTGATGGTTGCTCTCTCTCGATGGTGTCTCACGTGGGATGATGGTGGTTGATCTCAGGCAATAAGAACTTACAGGGAAGATGGTAGTCAATCTCTAATGACAACAACTAGCCCAGAATGATGTTAATTAGCCTCTAGTGATGGCAACTTGCCTAGAACAATGGCGGTCAGTCTCTGGTGACAGCAATTTGCCTAAAACAATGGTAGCCAGTCTCTGGTGACAGCAACTTGCCTAAAACAATGGTAGCCAGTCTCTGGTGGCAATAACTTGCCTAAAACAATGGTAGCCAGTCTCTGGTGGCAACAACTTGCCCAGGACAATGTTAATCCGTCTTTGATGACAACAACTTGCCTAGAATGATGGCAATCAATCTCTGGTGCTGGCAGAAGCCTCCCTTGTCTACTCTCCTCACCCCTCTCTGATCTCATTCCATGGAATCCCTTTTTATCTCCCCCAGCTGATCCTATAAAGAAAAAAAAACCTTACCTCCCACTAAAAGGCATATGTCAAACTCTTTCCTAACTCTCCCTTTGCCTAACTTACTCCAACGAGGGAAAGGAATTAAAACTCCCCAAACTACCCTCTCTCCCTCTCTTCGTCTGGCCTGCCCACATCGAAAGAGAAAGAAACAATAAAACTTCACTTTCCCCCCACCCCACCCCACCCTCTCTCTCTCTCTGCCTGGCCTGCTTCAAACAAACAGCTCTGGCAAGCTACTCCCACTCTCTCTCCCTCTGCCTGGCCTACTTCCAGCAAACAGCTCCAGCAATTACTCTCACTCTCTCTATCCCTTTCCCTTTCATCCGGCTTGCCTGTAACGAAGCAAAAAAAAAAGCAAATGCAAAAACCCCAGCTTCTTACTCTCTCTTCAATCAGCTGGCTCAGAACGGCAAGCTCCACCAAGCCTTCTCTCTTCCTCCCTTCCTCCCTTCTATCGGCTTCCTCCTCCTTTTTCTTCCCTCCTCCGAGCCATGCCCCACCGCCAGACCCATGGCAGCTGCTGGAGCTCTTCATCTTCCTGCCAAATCGGCAGGGCTCCTGCAAAGCCTCTCAGCTGGCCCCATTCTCACCCCAACTCCGCTACATAGGTAACAAATAATAAAGCCACATCATTCAAACATAATCAGCAAAAGTCTGTTAAGTTAGAAGAAAGAAGAATATAATATATTTAACCTTGAATAAATCAATCAATTTCATATTCTTTCCTTTCATTTACACAGTAATTTATCATTTTTTTTCTAAAAATGCAATAAAAATCCTTTCTTCCCATATCTGATTCTCGTGTCTATCTTTTTGCTTTCAATTCATTTTTTTTCCCTTTGGCTGTTTCCTTGTTTGGTAAATGAACAAATAATCACAAAAGCAACAAAAGACTGGTTATTACCAATAATTTGATTTTTTTTTTCCTGAAAAGGCTCCAAGGCAAGTGATGATTACAGCTGAGTTTCCAAGTGCCCTCAAGGTAGAAGTGAATTGTTTACCTGGAGAACTCAGCCAGCACAAGGGAGAGTGTTTTTTTTCTTACACAAGAAAAAACTCCCTTGGGAGCATTAGGAAAAAATATTTTGGTGTTATAATAATATTCCCATTTCAGATTGTCAAGAGCTTGCAACTGCTTCCATAGGAAAATGAGACTGTCTAATCTCAGGAAGGAGCCACATGGTTATTTTACTTGGGGAAAAATAAGACTCCCATATAGGCTAATTGGTTGGCTTTTTCAAAAGATCTTAACAGGAAACTGTATTTAGCTTCATTCAGGTAAGTTTGATGTCTTGTGGCATAATTTATGTAGATGTCTCCTAAGCTTCTGCCATTCTAGGAGCTAGGTCTATACTAGTCCTCCCGTGGCCCCTCTTCTCACATCTGACAGCCAAGGCTGTCAGAGGCAGGCTCACACGGGTCCAGTCCTGCCCTTCTTTGAACAGAAGAAGGTGTTCAGAAGTGGTTCATCTTTCCGATTTCTGATTCCCCCCCCAGAAGCAGGTCCTTGCATGGTGGAAGCTGACTTCAGAACCATCCTCTTTGGGGGACAATCAAATAAAATTAGGATTAAATGTGGTTCTCTATAATTTCCTGCACAGAGTGATGCCTGAGATTGAACCTGAGTTATAACCCTGTGCTCTTGCGAGCTAGAGGATTGTATGACAAATAGAAACTTCAAAGAAGGTACAAGAAATGTTGAAATGCTGTCATTTTCTGGAGGGGGATTTCAAGGGTCCAGAAATATGAGTTTTTCAACAAAGAAAATGGTATAGGGTTTCCTGCCTGAGCAGGGGGTTGGACTAGATAACCTCCAAGGTACCTTCCAACTTTATTATTATTATTATTATTATTATTATTATTATTATTAAGAAGAAGAAGAACATCCTTGTATTAGATAATATGGACATCGCAGTAATTTATGGTTTAGAGGGAAGGATTTGGACTTGAGGTAGTTTATGTTAATTAAGGAATTTGAATGCATTAAGCAAGTACTGTAAGATTTAAAAGGTTGAATACTGAAGGTGTCCCAGAACCAAGTAATTTACGTCAGCAAAGATGGATCCATTACTCTATTGTACTACTACTGCTATTGTAATACTATTTTATTAGTATTATGGTAGAAAAGACACTTGATATTTGCTCTGATTTTGTGGAATCTGCTAATTTTGTCTTTCCCAAAAAGTTGCCTTCTACATGTTAAAATTATAGCTCCCACAATCACCAAGTCATCACTCTCTGGAACTTTGAAATAATTCTGATTTTTTTTGGGGGGGGATTGCCCTCCTGTCCATTGTGTTGAGGGCAGGAAATTTTCATATGCTAACCCTTGCATCTCTGTTAACAGTCATTCTCTTTCAAAGCTCTTGTACACCCACATATGTGGAAGTTACTCATACTGTATTCAGTATGGGGTCAATGCCTACAGAGGTGAATAATATTATAAACTAAGCCCCTCCGTGGACCCTTACCCTGCCTTTAACAAAAGGCACAACTCCTTGGAGTCCTGAAGCCTCAGCCGGAGATGTCAACACAATTGGCATTAATATTAGCAACAAAAATAAACATGCAAACCTCAATTTTATTGCACAAATAATCTCCCCATCTTATAAAGGTTCCAGTTTTAGTGCACTGTTAATAAGTGGTGTAAAAGAAAGACGATAAAAGGATAGCAAACGTGAATAAAGGAAACAATCTATGCAATTGTTTAGATACACTTTTAGCCTTCCCCCCAAAAGCAGCAGGTGTTGCAGTCTGAGCAATTCTTGGGCTTTGCTGTTTCTTTCTCCAAGTCAACAAGAGACCTTATCCATCCAACTCTGATCAGCTGTATTGGATGATTTTGTTTGCCTTAATTTGGGATATTATAGATTGCATTGTTATAAACCCTCCTTTTATTTCTTTTTTCCTTTGTAGTCCTTACAAAATTAAAGTTTTAAAAATATTGGGATGGTTCACTATATTGATTTAAAAGCGATTTTATAATACTATCTTTGTACCTGCATGGCCAACAATCTTAGTAGCTGCAAAATTAAATGTGTGTCCTTAACAACTGGAGAGAACAACATGAACAATGCAAGCACAATTCAAGCACAAGCATTTATTACAGGCACAAAAAGGAGAGAAAAGAAAAAAGAAGGTATAAGACGAACTATATAGCACACCCTGCCATGCATCAAAAACATTTTGGAAGCAGTAGAATGCAGCTTCCAAGATCTGCAAGTGGGCATCGCACACTGCCCAGAGGCTACTGTACAAGGACAAATTATGCATTGTAAACATCATTTGGAGGTGGAGATACTTCCAAGGTAATCTACCGGATCCCCTGCATGGATTGCCCCTGTGACTATGTAGGACAGAAGGGGAGGAAGCTAACCACCAGATTGCAAGAACACGTGAGAGGTCAGAAAAGGAAAACTAAACTCACTGGTAGCTTCACGTTACAATGAACAAGGACACTCGTTTAGTTTCACAGCAACTAAGTTCATTGACCATGCAGGTACAAAGACAGCCAGGGAAATGACTGAATCTGGGAAACAGGCTCCTTGTCAGTTAACAGGAGTGCTGATTTACCACCAGTTTATCAAATACTTAGGAGCTGAGGGCTTGGCAGCACGAGGAAGTGACAGCCAATCCCCAGCCATCAACACACCAATCAGCCCATAGGAAAGCACAGCACAGCCCAAAGCACGTATTCCAGTACAGAGAAGTTCCCTGTAGATGGGCTCCAGCATGAGTCCAGAAGCTCAGAAGAGTAAAACTCTGCTCCCGGTGACCGACCCAAATTTGATCTCACATAATTTAACTCTTTCTGAAAATATGATAAATTTTATTCCTCCACCCATCTGTGACATTTTTCTAGATGAAAACTGTTGCCTACACTCATCACAATACTCAGTCAGATAAGGTTAGTACCTTCTTTGGGTAGTTTTGGCAAAAATCATGGAGTACATCCAATTCAAGCATGAATCCTGTACATATTTATGGAATGTTCAAAAACTAGAAGCAAAATTAGTTTGGGGCAAAATAGTTTGGGACAGGATATCAAATAGGGTATTTTTCAACCTATGCTTCAAAATCATAACATGAATTATCTGTTGTGGGACTGAGAACTGCAAAATATTTCTCTTTCCACTCTAAACAGGTTACACTTATGAAAATGATGGAAGTGGAAAGCAATTGGACACTGGTTACTGAGTTTGTCTTGGTTGGGTTTACAACAGACCCATTTCTACGCATAATTTTCTTTGTGCTGTTCTTGGCTTCCTACATCCTAACATTGACTGGGAACCTGGGCCTCATGTCCCTGATCTACCTGGACTCCCGCTTGCACACACCCATGTACTTCTTTGTGGGCAGCCTTTCCTTCCTGGATATTTGGTACTCCTCGGTCTACACTCCTCGGATCTTGTCTGACTGTGTGTCCAAGAACAATCACATGACCATTGCTGGTTGCACAGCCCAGTTCTTCTTCTCTGCTGGATTAACCTTCACTGAATGTTTCTTACTGGCCTCCATGGCCTATGACCGCTTTGTGGCCATCTGCAACCCACTTCTTTATGCCACTGCCATGCCCAAGAAGCTCTGCATCCAGCTGGTGGTGGGATCTTATGTAGTGGGATTTGCCAATTCAATTGCACACACTGGTAACACCTTCCGTCTACACTTTTGTGGTAATAATATCATAAACCACTACTTTTGTGATGTACTACCACTTGTGAAGATGGCCTGTGATGACACACAAGTACACGAACTCATCCTGAAAGCTACCATTGGTTGTAATTTGCTAGTAACCACAGCTATCATTGTGAGTTCCTACATTGGTATTGGGGCAGCCATAGTCCACATTCGCTCAGCCACAGGGAGACGCAAAGCCTTCTTCACTTGTTCGGCCCACCTGGTCTCAGTCACCCTTTTTTATGGCTCCATTCTCATCATGTACTCCAGGGCCAACTCTCAACACACTCCAAGTTCAGACAAGGCAAATGCCTTGTTCTATACAGTAGTCAACCCTCTGGTCAATCCTTTGATTTACAGTTTACGCAATAAAGATGTGAAGGCAGCCTTCAAGAAAGTCTGGGGAAAATTTCTAGCACAGAAAAGAATGGCATTGATATATTCTTTACTCAAATTAGATTGCAGATGCAAAAATTAACCTCTAGCCTCTAGTGTGAGCCTTCCTTCCTTCCTTCCTTCCTTCCTTCCTTCCTTCCTTCCTTCCTTCCTTCCTTCCTTCCTTCCTTCCTTCCTTCATTCCTTCCTTCCTTCCTTCCTTCCAACCAACAGTGAGAAAGGCAACATGTCCTCAAAATGTCCACACTCATTTTGTTTAATAGCTGTTTCCCATGAATGCATCTTCCCTCAACTTTTCCTATCTAGTAGTATCCTCAAAGTTATATATACAAGCAGAGAAAAAGAATTAAAAAGAGTAGGTAGAATGTAAATAAAATCACTAGATTAGACGATCATAAGAAAATTTGTGTATGGGAAAGGCAAATACTTATGGAAGAAAAATATGCCTAACTTTCTCTCAATCTATACCCACAATTTGAAAATTAGCATAGGGTGTTCTCACAACCACGTTCACATGCGCATTCACTTCTCAAATTGGGAGAAATGCATTCCAGCCTTAACTGCATTGATTCAATACCTAACACCTGTCATAGCAATCTGAACAGCAAATCTTTCTAGATTTCACATGGGCTAATTTAAGCACAGCCATTCATGGATTTCCCCAGCTTTGTTTCCTCTTCCTGCTAGTACCACAGTCTGGCACAAAAGACAATCACAAATTCCTCTTTTTAAATGAAGGTCGGGTGGGGTTGATTTACTGTTTTGTTAGTTACCTTGATATAACATTTAGCCACCTATCAAGTTACCAAAGTGACAGGTTAGGGCCACACGGTACTCAGTGCCTATAGTCTGAAATTCTTCCAAGGGCAGAAAAGAGAATTTACAAGTAGTTCCTCCATGTCTCCTGAGACCAAGCAAGCCTATACCATAAACACTCCTGCTTCCAGGGACAACGGCTTCATCAGAAGACGACTAGCCTTGATTTTTAATTACAGATCCCCCCCCTTTCATAAACTCAGGAACTAAGTTTATATGGAATCTACTTCTACAAATGCATCCCAAAGCACTTGGCAAGAATGAGAGGCAGCTGCCTCATGGGAACCAGGCACCTGTTTTTCCTGCAGCACCAAACAAAATGGCAGAGGGAAGATGCTGCTGGCCAGAGGGGAGGGACAGCCTGAAGGAGGCAGAGGAGGAGGGGCAGACAGGATCAGATGAACCCTTAGGACAGTGGTTCTCAACCTGTGGGTCGGGACCCCATTTGGGGTCGATCGACCATTTCACGGGGGTCGCCAAGCAAGGCTGTCCGCCATTTTTTTTGTCCGCCTTTTTTTTGTCTGCCATTTTTTTTCCCTTTTCCAGCGGGTGCCTTACCTCCCTTGGGCTGGGCCAGCTGGTGGTCGGCCTGCTCCATCTCTGCCGCTTGCCAGCTATGCCTCGGCCGGCGCAGGGGGCGGAACCACGCATGCGCGGCGCTCCCGGGCAGGGAAAGTCCTCGACTTACAACCGGTTGGGTAGTCCTCAACTACAACCAGTTTAGTCCTCGACTTACGACCGGTTTAGTCCTCGACTTACGACCGGTTGGGGTCGCGGCATTAAAAAGGTTGAGAACCACTGCCTTAGGAGAAGGCAGGAGAGAAGGTGAAGAATGCCATGAGAGGAAATTGATTTTTTTTTTTTTCAGAAATGGCTAGGAAAATAAAATTATGCATTAAATCAGGAAAACAAATATAATAGGAAAGAAGCTCAGGTTGACTCCACCATTATTTACTGGGTATAAGAGGGAGGGAAGGGGAAACACAGTCACACATTTATTGGTTGTGTTACTGCAGCCCTTTTCAATAAAGTAGAGTTCCCATGAAAACTTGTGGAGTCTGTTTTGTCAACTGGCTTACCTTGAAAGGATGACATAATGTGAATTTGGGGGAAAATGAATTGATCAACAGGATGGTATTAGTCCCTGATCAGATGCTGTGGATTGGGGAGAGGTTTTCTGGGAGATTGAGGACAGGCCAGAACATCACTGTTTTGATGGGTAAGGGAGTTACGATGGAAGATAGTGGGATGGCCACTCTCAGGGAAAGGCCCCAAATAGGTTGATCTTGTGGCTTGTTCCACTTAGCTACAGGTCAGTAGAACTTTGAAGGGCTGAGTTTTCAGCTACTGCTGCTGAATGCTAAGTTGATCTCCTATAAGGCTGTCCTCATCTGTGACGTGATCACAAATGAGGGGGCTGACCTAGTGTACACTGCTGAAACTTGGCTGTTCTTGGAAAGAGGTGTTCTCCTCTCAAACATATGAAAGCTTTTATGCTTAGAAGGCACTGAGTCTGCAGGCTTTCATGTTTTGGTGTTGTAGCTTGCTCACAAGGAGGCTGGTATTTTCCCTTCACCACACAAGTCATAGAGAACATCCTAGAAGTTTTCTAATTTATTCTCAATAAATGTAGCTGAAGATGAAAGAAACAGAAGAATCAGGAATATATTTATGGATTTATAATCATGAGAAGCCATTTCTGAGAATGTTGCCTAGAAAAATCACATGGAATTGTTTCTGCAACCACCAGGAGTCAAACTGGATTCTGGCAGGTGGGATGTTGGGGATTGTCATCGAAGAGGAATCTATGCAGACTGTAGGGGGATTTAATATTCTCAAGAATTTCTTCAATCTTCTGCACCAATGAAAAGGTACACTGCACGTACAGTGCAACAATCCACAGCCAAGGATCAGCTTCTATCATAGTTGCCCAATAGCTTATTTTGCAGAATATTATTCTGTGAATTGCAGAAAGAAACAGAAATCTTGCCGTCCTGCTGCTCCCAATGACATCTTTTGGAAGAGTCCTTGGTCTTTTTGCTCTCTCTCCTCAAAACATTTGGCACAATTTGTTTTTAAATTCAGATTTTAAAAAAGTTTGAGCAGTTTTTAATTTGGTTCTTCTTGTTGTGTCAGAGTTATAACCGTTTCATGGGCAACTGTTATAACTGTTTCATTGCTCAAGCCTATACACAAGAATCTAGTCAACTAAAGTTCAGTACTAAATTGGCACCAAATAACGGTCAATGGTGTTCGGTTCTGTGCATTGGTAAGGCATTGAGACGCGGCAGGAGTAACAACAGTTGCTTCTTTATTCAAGCTTCAACAGAACAACACAAAATGGTGCGGATCCCTTTTATACCCTTTTGCAGGGAACAGCATCAGCCAATAAATGCAACGTATTTTCCCGCTTTGCGCGTGCACAATAGGCTGGAGACAGCCTGTCTGGCCCGGGTCTCTCTGCAGCTTCCTGGTCTGCCTGGGTCTCTCTGCCTGGGTCTGCCTGGGTCTCTCTGCAGCTTCCTGCATCTGATCTGTCACTCACAGTCCCAGGACATAACAAATGGAATTTAAGAGGGGTTGGACTTGGACCATTAGTGGGAACATAACAATTCTAGGCTGATGATTCATTTAACTCCACCACCCCCAACTCTGGCTGCTCTTCTCTTACACTATTTCAGAAATGATATACATTTGCATTTTTAATTTTGTGTTTCTTTTCTCTGCTTATTACCAAATCTGCATTTCAGAGTTTTTTCCAGAAAAGGTCTGGACAAGTGATGAGTGCAGCTGAATTTCTAAATGGCCTCAAGGCGGAAGATAAGTGTTTATCTAAAGAACTTAGTAGCCTCAGGGAATCTTTTCTTAGATAAAACTCCCTTTGGAGGAGTTAAGGTAAAAAAACAAAACCCTTTGGCATCATATTAATATTCCCACTTCAAATCATCAAATGCTTCCACAGGGAACTGGGATTGCCTAATTTGAAGGACTATTGTGGGCATCTTGCTCAGGAAGACATAAGACTCCCATATAAGCCAATATATGGGCTTGTCCAAACAGACTTAAAGGGAAAATGAACTTGGCTTTGTTAAGGTAAGTTTGATGCCTCTGGACATAATTTAGAGAGTTGCCCCCTAAGCTTCAATTGTTCCCCCAGTTTGGATCTGACTTGATGGCCACTCAATTTCTTCTCACTTTCTCTAAAAGACAGCAGGATTTAATATTGCCACTGACAAGGACCTTAGAATGAGGATAGAAGATGAAGTCCAAGTGTAGTTCTGAGAACAAGACAGCGGAAGCTTTTGACAACATTTCCTTTGAAATGGTTATTTACGTAAACTGCTGACCTTCATGAAGTGGAAAGTGAACACTGTTTGAGGAAAAGAGAGAGTAAACCTAGATCTAAGCAAAAGATAACTCGCTGATGAGATGAGTCACCTGAGAACATTGGTTGCATAGCTTGCAGCTGTACAAGGTAAATGAGAGCAGATCTTTTCTGCTGCTCCACTGGCAGGAAATGTGGTCAGTGAATGGCATCAGGGAGGGGCATCCGCATGCTCTTTGGTCACAAGAAAATTATGTCAAAGAAAGAACCAGTTTATAAAACAACACAGAGCAGCCACCCATGATGTTGCTTGTGCTTAAGTGATCCAAGGATATCATTCAAGGATAGGTTGAAAGATAGAGCAGCACAGCCAACTCAAGGCAACCAGCTTGGGACTCTTGCTAAAAGGGAGAAAATTATTCTGCTTCTTCCCCCCCCACCTCCAATTTTGGGGAGGAACCCTGTTTAGATTTTCTACCAAAAGTGTGTCTGGTTTTTTCTCATGAAATTGGGAGAGGGAAGCTACTTTTGAATCATAAATGCTGGGTCAATCAAAGAGAACAACTAAAACCATGTTGGAATAAATGTATTTTCATGGACTTTCCTGCATAAAGAGCACTGCATGACAGTGAAATCAAGTTATAGCTCCAAAGCTTAGGAAAGCTAGAGAATGGTATGCCTCATAGAACCCTCAGGTGCTACAGGAACTGTTCAGATGGTCTTAATTTCTGGAGAAGGTTTTCAAGGATTCAGAAAGATAAGAAGCTTTTCAATAAATGTCATCATCATGTCAGATCAGGATATTTTAGGGATTAGAGGAAAGAGATTTAGACATAGCTTGGCTTACCCTAAAGAATTGAATAGGTTAAACATTTAAGATGTAAAAGGTTGACTGCTGAAGGCATCATGGAACAAAGCAGCAAATTTCAGCTGCAGAGTATCTTACTGGAGTGCAGGTGATAAGTGTGATACCAGGTATTGCTTTGGTTTGGTAAAATTAACTCATTCTGTCTTTCCCAACTTGGTGCTTACAGTACCCTGTGAATTAGAATCAGAGAGCCCAAACCTTCACTGTCTGCTATTTTGAAGTACTGTAATTCACTTCCAGTTGATTGCTTTGAGGGCAGAAACAGTTCATAAGCTGACCTTGCATCTGTTATACCAGCACTCTTCTATGCTCACATACAGTGTGTGGAACTAATTCCCACCGAATGCTATATGGGGTTTACGTTATGCCTACGAAAGACCATAACTTTGTAAATTGCATCATGCATGTGCCCCCTATGCATCCTTTAACAAAGGCTGTGGCTCCTTGGAAACTCAAAAGGTCAGCAGGCTATCGACCAAATTGGCATTAACGTCAACAACAGAAACAGAGGAACAACATTTAGGTTTTGCCCAATTTTCCTCTTCACTTTTTGTTGGCTCCAACATTCAACCTTTTACATCTTCGTGTTTAATGTATTCAGCGATGTAAAAGAAAAAAGACAAAAGTGCAGCTAACAAGAACAAAAGAAAATCCAAAGAATTGTTTAGATATTTATTTGGATACATGTGAGTTGGGAGAGGGGGTGCCAGATTAAGAATGCTTGGTTGAGGCATTGGATTCTTCAAAAATTAAAAAAGGGAACAGCGCAGCAACAGAACATTAACTGAACTGAAATTATGAAATGGAGTTGAAGTTCTATTGAAAACTCAGCTAATGTATGAAAGGCAAAATGTTAATAATAGCGATATTGGCAGTAAATTGGAAGATGTTTGATTTTAAAACACTGGTGGTAAGCTTGACTCTATTGAATCTAATTCTAATATTCCCAAAACAGATTAAGGGGAGGAGAGTCATGAGCCAAAAAAATAAGGCTGAGAATGGGAACTGGGAACATCTTCACATACTAATTTGACGAGATTAGTTTTGTGAGGGCAAACTCTTTGGATGAACTAATTATGTATATGTGACAGAGACCATCTTCTCCATATGCAGAACGTGAATGGGCTCGCCTTCCTCCTTCCAATTTGAGACTTTGTCCAAAACTGGCATGTAATAGACTACAAAAACTGGCATGTAATAGACTACCAAGCAATGATTAAGGCAGCGAGTCAGGTTCACATCCTACTCAGCTGTGGAGTTCATTGACTTATATTTAATTTTGTCACATTTACTTAGCCTATGATACCTCACAACACTCTAGTACAGCTGTCAAGGTTGGAGACCCCTGCTCTAGTAGTAAAAAGTAGTAAAAAGAATGGGGAGAAACCAACTGTATTGTCTTGAGCTGATTGGAAAGAATTTTACTCAACAGATAATTTAAATACAACATGATTTCCCCATTAATACAATGATCTGTGTAGGTTCATGTATACAAATGTAGACATTAACAAAATGCATCTCAGGGTCACAGGAATCTAGATATAAATTGCTAGCAATTTTTTTTAAGGAAGATACTCTTACCTGCTTAAAAAGATACACAATTTATGCATCAGTTCCTTGCCAGTTATAGGGAAATGTTCCTTATGATGGTGACTTGCTAGAGTTTGTGGTATTCAGTTCTTTGCAACATTTAAAACAACTGGACTAGTTTAGAGGAATTTTTGGTTCTGCTCCCAGAGGCTAAAGCTATAAGGCAGAAAAATGCCATTCATTTCCACTGTTCAAAACTTACTATTTTTTTTCATTTTCCATAGCAGAATCCATTATTTACCTGCCTTGTGAGATGCTGATATATCTATAGTTCAGATCAAATAAGTAGGCTGTCATGAGTCTGATTAACGAAACACTTAAAAGGACTTTCAGGCATATTTTCTCCTAAAAGCATTTATTAAGGTTACAGAGACGTCAGTACAGCATGGTGGAAATGCTTAGGTCTGGCTTCTCTTCTGTTACGCATATACATTCTAAGCATTCCCCCCCCCTTATTTTGGGGTCATGGTTCACATCTTCCAATCAACTTGGAAGATGTGATTTACTTCCCGTTTCTTTTTCCCGGGCTATCCTTAATTCTCCTCCCTTTTTCCCTGTTGCCTGGTTTAACTATAAAAATACCAGACAGTTCTGCATATTGTCAAAGCAAGAATATACAGTATTTGCAGCATTGACATAGGCATTATTTCCCCCCTCTTTTTATGGACTGAGAATACATCTATTGTAAAATTTATACATGCAAAATGGGGACCTGATCGGTTATTTATAATGTCTCTTTCCTCACTTGCAGTTTATCTTTATAAGCAGAAGTCTGTGCCAAATCCATCTACATAGTTTCATGCCTTCTCTTACCAACCAGCTTCTGTTGCAACAAGAGTGCCTCTAGGCTTCGGATTTGGGGGGGGGGGGTTGCCATTGTTTAAGTGATTAAGAAACTTTCTTCTCCATTTCAGTCCTATATAACCTATTAGGATGATTTTGTCTTAACTAGGGATACTACATAATGCATTGTTATACTCCCTCATTTTTTCATTTCTTTTTCCTTTGTGGCCCCTACAAAATTAAAAATATTGGGACAATTCATTATATTGATTTAAATGTGATTTTATAACACAGTGATATGCTTCAAAGACAGTGATGTGTCTCTGAAGCACAAAAAAAAGTGGAAGCCCTCCTTCTCAGAGTGCAGAACATGGACTTTGTATTCCCTTCAGGTCCAAATGCTGCTCTTATTCTTCTATCCTTGACTGATTCTCTCCTTTGTCCACCTTGGGCCTTTCCTGCTCAAGATTACTCATCTGTTTCAGCCACTTGAACACTTCACAGAGCCACGGTTAGAATTGCTTCACTAAGAGAAGCCCTTCCTTAGCAGAATTGGGGTCCGGGCACTGCAGCAGAGATCCTATCACAGTCCTTAACCCAGTTCCTTTTCTGCACCTCTCCAGTTTCTGCTTTCTTGTTTACACTTTGAGCCATTTAACACTTAATGAGGGGAGGGCTCATTTCATTTTCCCACACACCCATCTACTGTAGCATTTCTTTATGTGAGAATCAATGCCTGTGTTTGAAACAAAACATTAATTCAAGGAAGGTGGAGAGTGGAGATGAAGACAGTATAAACAATCCTATGTTCTATAGTTCATATATATCTCTATGCTGCAAAAACCTTTTTTGAATCTTTTATGGCCTTCTTAGTAAGCTGCTTCACTTCTGGACTTGTGGCAATTGAAGCATCACTTTTTATTTTTTCCCCAAAGAATTTGAGTAAATAGAGTGTTTGTTGGCAGAAGAGCTTTCCTGGAGAATCAGGAAGAGCTTTGTCAAAAGCCTCAGCTGACTGACAATAATTTAGTATCATTTATTCATTTGACCCAACCTTTAAATGGGGCTGGATAGGAAGAAAGTTCTCTCCTTTTGAACTTCATCAGTGATCCACAATGCTTACTGGGGATTTTAGCAAGATTCATGATAAACATATGGAAAGAGTCCAAAAAGAAAAAAAATACAAAAAAGGAGCATGGGAGGAGGAATCCATGGAATATATGCCTCCTTTCCACTTCATCCCATTAAAAAAGGCAACATCTCTTGAGAAATATGTAGAAGTGTTTTTTTATTACTAATCATAGATGGTTTCTCCAACTTCACAGTCATGCCTTCTTCATGACGGTGAAGTTGGACAAAGCATGTATGATTAGTCTTCTTCATGGTCTTCCAACCAGTTTCTCTTCAGCCCCAACCTTGTTAACTGTCTAAGTTCCCAGAAGGTCCATAAAGCACTCATATATGCTGAGACAATCTTCAGAAAAGACTAGGCAAATACATGGAGAGCTACTAAGCAATGTGGGCTTTGTAAATGCTGAATCATATAATATATCCATGATATTAAAAAAGCAGAAGCAAAAGTATTCTGGGGCAAAATGTGTCGAGGAAAGGGCATTCAATACACAATTCAAAACATTAGCATACACTCTTTATATCAGGGCTGAAAACTGCACAATTTTAATTTCTTTTTCAGGTTATGCTTATGAAAATGACGGAAATGAAAGGCAATCAGACATTGGTTACTGATTTTATCCTGGTTGGGTTTACAACAGACCCATTTCTACGCATAATCTTCTTTGTGCTGTTCTTGGCCTCCTATAACCTAACGCTGACTGGGAATCTGGGCCTCATAACCCTGATCTACATAGATTCCCACTTGCACACACCCATGTACTTCTTTGTGGGCAGCCTTTCCTTCCTGGATATCTGGTACTCCTCGGTCTACACTCCTCGGATCTTATTTGACTGTGTGTCTGACAACAACCACATGTCCCTTGCTGGTTGTGCAGCCCAGTTCTTCTTCTCTGCTGGTTTGGCCTACACTGAATGTTTCCTATTGGCCTTCATGGCCTATGACCGCTTTGTGGCCATTTGCAACCCACTCCTTTACCACACTGCCATGCCCAAGAAGCTCTGCATCCAGCTAGTGATAGGAGCTTATGCAGCTGGCTTTGCCAATGCAATTGTACACACTGGCAACACCTTTCGGCTACGTTTCTGTGGGAATAATGTGATCAACCATTACTTCTGTGATGGGCCACCACTTGTTAAAATGTCCTGTAATGACATAGGTGTCTATGAACTCATTGTGGCTGCTGTATTGGGTTCCAATTTGCTAGTAACCACAGCTGTCATTGTGAGCTCATATATTGGCATTGGAGCAGCCATAGTTCGCATCCGATCAGCTGCAGGGAGATGCAAAGCCTTCTTCACTTGTTCAGCTCACTTGATGTCAGTGTCCCTCTTCTATGGTTCCATTTTCATTATGTACCTCACACCCAACTTTCATCACATTCCAAACTGGGACAAGACAAATGCATTGTTCTATACAGTAGTCAACCCTCTGGCCAACCCGTTCATTTACAGCTTACGCAACAAAGACGTGAAGGCAGCCTTCAAGAAAGTCTGGGGGAGATTCACAATACCCAAATGAATGCCATCGATAGTCTCTTTCCCCAGATTTTACTTCAGAGAATTTAAACTTCTTCCTGTAGGGTCAGGCTTCTTTGGGGGGACTTGTTTCCCACATGTGCATTTCCCAGTCTTTTTCCTACCTGAAAGCATTTCAAAATATGGTTCACAATAAGGGAAATAGAATGGAAACATAACAAGCATGATGATGGACATATATGATGGCTTTGGGGTGGATTTCCATCAGTACGCTGATGATACGCAGCTGTACATTTCCACCCCAGGCCACCCCAACGATGCCCTTGACGTGATGACCCGTTGCCTGGAGGCCGTACGGGTCTGGATGGGGAGGAACAGACTCAGGCTCAACCCTTCCAAGACCGAGTGGCTGTGGCTGCCGGCGCCTCGGCATAGTCAGCT